GGGGGGGGGGGGGGGAGAGGGGGGGAGAGAGACACAGAGAGACACAGAGACAGAGACAAGAGAGAATGATGGAGAAAGAGAGAGAGACAGACAGGCAGAGAGAGAGAATCAATATTGCACTCACTCTTTGTAACCCCTCCATCCTTCCCGCCCTCACTCATTCCCAGAACATCGACGACAGCGAGTTCAAGTTGACCCGGTTCGACAAGCTGGAAATGGAGCGCGAGGCCTTCCCCACGGGAGAAGACGACCAATTTTAAGGGATGGATACTGTGTCACCGCCTGGGAGAAATAAAACAAAACGCCGAAATTGGACGATGGGAGGGGGGGGGGGCATCCGAAGAGAGGGAGGGGCGTGCGCGGCGGGGGGGGTATACTCATACTCATAGTCGTGCATGACGTTGTCGTTAGAGCATTGACCTCGGCGTGCGCGGCGCGGGGGGGGTCCTTTTTACCATATCGAAGAGGCGTTTCGTGCACCAGGGCCGAGGATGGGGAGGGGGTTGGGGGCTAAAAACCTTGAATTGACGAAGTACGTCACTTCTCTCGCTACTTCCTCTGATCGATGTATGAGAATGTTGTCGGACGCTCGACCTCGCTGTCTGGGAATCGATTGTTTTGTTCCAGGCTGTGGTTTAGACGAAGGTAGCACAGAAGCGTTCGTGAACACGGGGCGGTGGATTGTGCTGGAAAAGCCCGGGGCTTAAAGGTCGAAGATAAGGCACTGGCTTGGTGTTGTTGTTTCGCGCAACGGGCAGGATGATCATTCTAAAATTTCGGCGCGATTTTTTTTTTTTTCATTCGTTGTTTGGGGACGTTTTTTTTGCCTTTCTCTCACATTGGGTTACTCGTGTTGTTGCTGTAGAGTTGGGCAGGAGATCTGTTTTTGTGTGTTTGGTTCCAGCTGGGGAGGAACCTCAAGCATTTTGTGCATGACGATACTTACTCGCGATCTGATTGGATGCAGCAGTAGTTTTGAGAGAGGAGGGGAAGGTGTTGGCACAGGAAAGCGTGGGCGCTTTTGTGTTATGCATACGTGGAATTTATCTGTGCAAACAGTAGGTCGTTATCTGCTCTTCTTTTGGTCGATTGCTACATGTACCGCGAAATATATCACCATACACCATACCTGAAGACACTTTCGTTCATTGATTCTGCATCTTGCAATAACGTGCGCGGTTGATGCGGCGGTGAACAACTGCTGCTATGGAAAACTATTCAGAGGCCCTGTAGACCCTTGTTTGGGGGTCCGTTTCATGTGCTAGACGAAGGACGTAGGAAATTCATCCGCCCACCACTATCTCGAATTCTCGGCAAAGAGGGTGGGGGAGGGGGACAGATGAAGACTAAATAGCTGGCTTCGAACCGGTGCAAAAAGTGAGCCAGACCCGTTCCTCCGGGAAAGATTAAGGGCTGTGCTATCACACGCGGTGTGCGTTTTGCGATTTTAGAGTATGCTTTTGATGACTTGTCCCGGCGATCGCTCGATTGAAACTGGCCGTGTTCGCTGCGTGGAAACGATTATGATCGTGGAGGGCGCAGGAGGTCAGGAAAGTCTAGACTATAGTGGCACTCGTGTAGTTTGTGCGTTTGCCATGTAGATAGGCTGAGTCCACGCTGTTGTGCGCATTTTGACGGACCACCGTGTTTTCTGACGACCAAAGCGATGACGCTTTGGGGAGACGAAAATGACAAGTGCTGTGCTCACCACATCCACCCTTGGCCGCTGCTGCAAGCCATCTAATCTACAGCAAAACCCTCGCGACTTTAGTTCATGTTTCCTCCAAGTGTTTTTTTCTTCATTTTCCAACGTCTTGACTGAAAGAATGCTTCATCTTCGTCTGCTGCCCCAACGCTCTCAAGCCCCTTTCGGATTCTTCAAGTGCCGTTTTTGTTTCTGCGAGCCAAAACACGTGCTTTGCGTCTCACGAACCAACGCTCTGTATGTATTCTGCACGATTTATCTCGCATCGAACCCGCTCAAGGCACATGTAGCTCCCACTGGATACATTGTGATCTAGTGGGTAGCCTCGCAGCCTGCTAAGGGCCAGGTCATGGGTTCGAGTCACGACAGAGCGACTTTTTCTCGCTAATTAAATCCTGGCGACGCGCTGCAAAGCTCGTTGTTAGTAAACTTGATCGACTTCGTAAGTCGCGAGGTAAGGGATTGCTGTACCCTTCTCGCCATGAAAATATACCACGCAGGAACCGAAGGCGGGGCTATGTGACCCCGGTTGGGTCGTCTAGCCGGAGAATTGGAGGATAGGGACCAGAGGGGCAGACGACAGAGTCCAATGATGGGAGAAAAAAAACAAATGTCGGCACATGAGAGCAACATAGGCTGGGTAGTGGGTGGTCGCTCCCCAAGCCCCAAGAGCGATCCGCAATGAACGGCTTCTACGAGGCCTCCGAATCACGTGTGTACACATGAGAATAGACGGACATGGATGGGTGGGTGGTGGCTCCCCTGGAGAGGACGCAATCGCGTCTGCGAAGCACGTGCGTGTGTGTGCGTGAACCCCCTTCAAATAGCTCGATATGCTTGTTTGTTTATTTTTGGCATGGGTTTCCCGGGCTTCGAACGACAACACCAAAGATAGATACTGACTCAAGAATTAAGCCGGCACTTGGGGCCAGTTCACTCAACTCGGCCGGCCTGGCTGCATAGCAGTAGCAATGAGTGCCGTGCTTTCGCCGTCACTTGCTTCGCCTTCATCTCTGTTCAACCAGCTGTCCAGCCCAACGTCGAGGTTTCATACTTCACACTCTACCGTCGTGGGTACTTTCAGTAGACTACAAAGACTACTCCCGGTGGTATATTAACCTATCGCGACTCACTGTCAGTCGCTTCTAGTCGGGCAGGAACAAAAAACAAGGAACAATTCACCAAACGCCCTTCCCCACAACTAAACAGTTATAGTTGGCCTTTGTACCACTGCTGGCGCTGCCACCGCTGTCACTGCCTCGCATCGTTTGCCTTTCCCCGTACTTGTACGTCGCAAGAGCGCCAATCTCTCAAGGTGTACGCGAAAGAAAGCGTGCCCGCAGTTTCTCATTGGTCAAAGTGTTCCCGTTACAACACTTCTGTGCGTGACCGCAGCCCCCATCGAGTGCTTAATCTGCCCCCCGTTGACACGCTGCCGCCGTCGTCGAAGCCGATAACCCATTTTCTTTCATCTCTACCTCTCCCTGGGCTCCCTGGGCTACCTAGCTAAGGTTGCGGCGCGGCTTTGAGGGCGTGACCAGCTAGCAGCAGCCGCCTAAATGGGCTCCGCGTAAACCTGCTCCCCGCGCTCGGCCCGAAGCTGCTCCACCTGCTCCCCCAAAAAGCAAGCAAAAACCGCGACGTACGCACAGATACCAGCACGGACAGAAAATCAGGACCGGTTTTCGTATACACCCAAACTCGAGTATGGCGAGTGTCGGGGTGTGCAGGAGAACTGTTTGATTGCGGGGGGGGATACTCTCGTGCGGTGAGACCATTGGCCACGCGTCCTCGAGAGGACGAAGCATTGCTGCCACAGAGAGGGGAAGTATACACTGTTGCGTAACGTGACAAGAGAGATGGTTGTCAAAAGGGGATGAGTCAAAGTCTTTTGCAGCTGATTACGAAGCCACAGGGTGTTCGGGCATCCCCCAGTACCGTACCGTGCCACCTCGGGAGGGAGCACACAGCAACACGACACCCTCCTACCCGACATACATGATACACTGGGGGTGGACTATATTCGCGTTTGGACAAACGGCCTGAAAACAATGAATGCCTCTCCAGGATTCTCTCGTCAGACGCCCTGATTCCAACCACCGTTTCAACCCCCAAGCGCCTGTTACTTACAGTCGCTCTTCACGCTCCTAGTCAGTATGAACATTCTACATTGTTTTCGACCTCTATTTGGTAGGTACCGAATCCCTTGTTTCGATGCACCCTTGGTCGAAACAAAAAGAAAAAAAGAAAAAAGTGCGGGAACACTGCTATTGTCGTCGATCATGTCTCTCTTACGAACACTCCGCCGCCCTCGGTCCCGAGCGACGAGCCAAGTCGCCTGCATAATATCGAAACCCCTCCTTGTTTACGCGCCTCAACCGAACACGGTATCAAGTACGAAGCTGCTGGAGACGGCGAGGACGGCGTCCTGATAGAGGTGCTCATGATCATGTGCCTGGCAGTTTATGCCCGAACACGCTCTTGAGATTATTTAGACAGATGGCATAATCCCTTTAGAGAACGCCCGGGTGGAGCACACGGGTGATCACGTGCCAGTCCTGGCTCGACACTTTCAAGGGGGGGGTCGGGGCGCAGTACGAAAGTGCGGGTGGGATCACCTTTGTACTGCCCCCCGCCCCCCCATGAACCTGTTGCGCCACCCATGTTGGCCTTACTGGCATGTGAACACCCGAGTGCTCACGAGCACCTCCCATCAGTTACCCCCCCCCCCGTTGTGTGAGAGCCTGGTCCGGTGAGAACCCGGCCTGCTCTGTTCCGGTTTTGCAGGGATGCGAGGTCAACGGTCTAACGACTACGGCATGCACGGCTATGACTACACCCCCCCCTTCAATAGCTTCATTCGGCAAACAGTACAACTCTCCACACTCTTGAGTACAAGGTACAAGATGCCTACTCAGCACCACCATCATCACCAAAACGATACCGAAAAAAAAAGCGAGGTGCCGCACACACGCACCTCATCCTTGCGGGCCATCAGTTTCTCCCTCCGATTCCTGCTAGGCGCCGCTTTGATCTGCTTGTCGAAATCGATCTCCCTTAGAGTTACGTTGAGGTGGCTCCACTTGCGCCTGCGTGACGACACGACAAAGGTTGGGCCAAGTGTCAGTCTTCTTTTCTTCATACATTTTTATGCTTAAGTGACTGAGGTGGCATACAACCAAGACATTGATTTTGATCATGGCCGCATCACGGGTGATGGGTGAAGCACGCCAACATCGATGCAGGAACCCCGCGTCAAAATACTTCGACCAATGTGCCAACTGCGGTACTGATGAGATCATTCCCCCCCAAACGACGAGCGAGAGGAGGCCAGAAACATAGTTGAGTCGCCGCGGCGCTGTGCACGACACCCGTGGCAAACGAAAACATTACGGTAACGCCAAATATTCATGTACGACGTGAAGCAACACGTACAACAGCACTGATTCGGGTCATCTCTTCAGGAATCGGGTGAAGTCGGGGCCAAAATACCACTCTACCTTCAGAAATACAGGGACTATGAGGATATACATTTGTGAATCCGAGGTGGTCCTTATATTTTTCAAGCAGGGTGGCTCATCACAAGCGGGAAAATCTACGGTTGCACACCGCGAAAAACGTAGCCAATCACACGTACACGATCAGAGAGGGGGTCTTCCTCCACAGGAGTTTTTCAACGATTCTTCTCCCCTTGTTTCACAGCAAGCATAACAAATGCGTACATGCTACACGTGTGTAGTGCTGTGTGGGGTTGGCAACAGCGTGTGTTATGAGGATTCGCAGATTGCGAGACTCGCGCCTTGTAGCGCCTGCATCCGAACGGCTTCAAAGGACATCCTAAACGTGTAACGCTGTCCTCTTCCTCCTCCAATCAGTTCCCCCCAAAGTTTGCTTGTTTCCCTGTCGCGTGCTGCCTCTCTACTGCCGCTCGCTCTTTCGCTATCGTGGCGACAACGCCGCACATCTCACCACAGAGCCCACAAGCTTGTCACAGCCCGTACTGCATTCTCCATTCTTGTAGACAAGGGGGTTAAAGTGGAATAGAATTTGAAGACCTATAGTATATGTAAAACTACAAGGTTGTCCGACCGACGCACATCGCTATCCCTGCGCGTAGAGGGGACACGCGGAATAGAATGGGTGTATCTGTAGTGTACTAAACGTATACTGCTTACAAGGTTACCGGCCGACCCACCTCGCTATCCCTGCGCATAGGGCGGACACGCGGAGTAGAATGGGGATACCTCTAGTACACTATATGTATGCTGATTACAGAGTTACCGACTGACGCACCTCGCGATCCCTGCGCGGCCCCTGCCCATGATCCGGAGACGCTTCACCATCTTCCCCTTCGTGACGAAGATCTCGCCCACCTCCAGCTCTTCCGCGGCAAGCCCGTACCTCATGTCCGCCAGGTTGAGGGCGTTCTTTTTTTTTTAAGCAGAGGCGTTTTTTTTTTTGGGGGGGGGGTTGGGGAAGAGGGTAGAAGAGAGGTGGTGCAACGATGGTGGGGTGGGGGAGCAACGCTTGCGCACACGCGACCGCTTTATTTGTATACTTCCGAGTAGTTAATTTTCACGGGAATGTTTGGTATAGTATGTACAATTAGTACTGACCCGAGTATTGAGTAAGTATCTGGCTCTTTTCGCCCAGTAGAGTAATACTCACACTTCAGTACAGCTTTTCATACTCTACTAAGAATACTGTGGCGTTTAGCACAGCTCTTCGCACTAACTAAACCTTTTGTAAGTACGGCTCTTCAATACTCTACTAAACATTTTTTGAGTATAGTACGGCTTTTCATACTCTACTAAGAATACTGTGGCGTTTAGCACAGCTCTTCGCACTAACTAAACCTTTTGTAAGTACGGCTCTTCAATACTCTACTAAACATTTTTTGAGTATAGTACGGCTTTTCATACTCTACTAAGAATACTGTGGCGTTTAGCACAGCTCTTCGCACTAACTAAACCTTTTGTAAGTACGGCTCTTCAATACTCTACTAAACATTTTTTGAGTATAGTACGGCTTTTCATACTCTACTAAGAATACTGTGGCGTTTAGCACAGCTCTTCGCACTAACTAAACCTTTTGTAAGTACGGCTCTTCAATACTCTACTAAACATTTTTTGAGTATAGTACGGCTTTTCATACTCTACTAAGAATACTGTGGCGTTTAGCACAGCTCTTCGCACTAACTAAACCTTTTGTAAGTACGGCTCTTCAATACTCTACTAAACATTTTTTGAGTATAGTACGGCTTTTCATACTCTACTAAGAATACTGTGGCGTTTAGCACAGCTCTTCGCACTAACTAAACCTTTTGTAAGTACGGCTCTTCAATACTCTACTAAACATTTTTTGAGTATAGTACGGCTTTTCATACTCTACTAAGAATACTGTGGCGTTTAGCACAGCTCTTCGCACTAACTAAACCTTTTGTAAGTACGGCTCTTCAATACTCTACTAAACATTTTTTGAGTATAGTACGGCTTTTCATACTCTACTAAGAATACTGTGGCGTTTAGCACAGCTCTTCGCACTAACTAAACCTTTTGTAAGTACGGCTCTTCAATACTCTACTAAACATTTTTTGAGTATAGTACGGCTTTTCATACTCTACTAAGAATACTGTGGCGTTTAGCACAGCTCTTCGCACTAACTAAACCTTTTGTAAGTACGGCTCTTCAATACTCTACTAAACATTTTTTGAGTATAGTACGGCTTTTCATACTCTACTAAGAATACTGTGGCGTTTAGCACAGCTCTTCGCACTAACTAAACCTTTTGTAAGTACGGCTCTTCAATACTCTACTAAACATTTTTTGAGTATAGTACGGCTTTTCATACTCTACTAAGAATACTGTGGCGTTTAGCACAGCTCTTCGCACTAACTAAACCTTTTGTAAGTACGGCTCTTCAATACTCTACTAAACATTTTTTGAGTATAGTACGGCTTTTCATACTCTACTAAACATACTATACTATACTAAACATTCCCGTGTTTAATTTTGTTAGAAACACTAGACAAAGTCATCTCTTCCACAGATCAAGAGTCCGGGATGGAATACTCATGTAGCAATATTATAGGCTGTTGGTGAGATGTCCTACTACTATAGGATAGGAGGGGGGGTAGAGTACAGCAGTATACCCAGGAAAACAGAGGTACAGCCGAAGTATTTAGTTTGAAGTGGGGTGTGTTCTGGCGGGGCTGGGCGCACACGGCTTGCGGTTGGTTCCTATGCTAAGTTATTGCTGCTGGCATCACAGGGACGAGGAGGACAGAAAAGGGCTCCGGATGAACGGCGGAGAGTTTGGTCCCCGATGTCCCCTCCATCCCTCGCCCTCCTTCCCCGAAACATCGTCGTTGGAGACTTATTCCAAAGGGAGTTACAAAACAACAAAAAGAGGGTGTGCGCATCCGTTGTCGATTACAGACCTACACTGTACTCCAAGGGAAATCAGCAAAAAATGCAAAAAGCGGGGATGGGCTTTGCGTCTCGCCTGCTCTCGGTTCACTTCGAACCCCGCGATAGGATCTACCTGCCCATCAACAAAGAGGAGGATGATTGCCATCACTCATCTCACGACCAGCGAGAGCAAGCGGGAGAGAGTGCCACCCACCCGCCTTACTGAAGTACCCACAATACCTGGATGGCTTTCGCTACGGTGGTGGTGTGCTTCTTCTTGCAGAAGAGAAGCTGCGCGTTCGCCTCCACGACCGGGAGGCCCCTCACGAGCTTCGCCAGGAGGTTCAGGTTCCAGGGGCTGACCCTGATCTCCTTCAGTCCCGTCGTGATCTCCCTCAAGCTCCCCTCATTCCCGCTGCTCCAAACGTCACCCAAGGCAAGCTGCTTCTGCTGCACCTCACCCTCCCGCTCCTCCTGCTCCTGCTCCGCCTGTTGCGGCGGAGGGCCTCTCGTAGTTGCTGACCACTTCTTCATCCCGGCGTGCTTGCCGTGGCGACGCTTCGGCGCGCTCTCGTAGACGCGCTTCGGGATGTCCTCGTACTTCTTCTGATTTGCGCTCGTGCTGAGGCATCTACTGCTGCTGCTGCTACTGCTGTTGCTATGGGTGTCAGCAGTGCTGCCGCCGATGCTGCTGCTGCACGTTGCCGCCATGCATGGGGTATTTCCTGCGGATGCTGCTGCTGTTGGAGCGGAATATGCTCTCGAACGGATGCCACCAATGCCACCGCCAAGTGGCGCCCTGAGAAAGCGCAAGCGATGCATGGTGGTCTGATCACTACTGTCGCCACTCTCAACGGCAGGGTGAGCTGCAGCTGTGCTGTGTGCCGAGACAGCAGACAGAGCGGCGGAGCAGTTGAGGGGGGCGCGCGAAATGTATAACAAGGCGCCGGGGTAGGTCTCAAAAACGCGGCGCGACTATTTTCAAACAAATGAATGACCCATGACACATGATCACGTGGTGTTGGATCGATGGATCCATGCTGGATCTGATTCCGGGCGGTCACTTGGCAACCAGATATCTCTTCGTCTACCGACGATGAGAGTGGGACGCGTGTCCATGAAGAAGGCAATCTTTTCTTTCCTGTTCCTCCCGCAAAATGGACCCAGCCTGTGTGCGTATAACTTGGGCCAGGCTTGACAATTCCCCGACCGACCTCTTCACGGATGGTGGGACTCTGACATCGCTCTGTGTGACTCCAAATGATAAGAGAGAGAAGAGAGCGATTACGAATTAACGAAGCTTTTAAAGGCAAACTGCTCTTCTGCATGCGCAAGTGAGTGGAGACCGAACGAGGACTTTAGTAATATTAGCTTTAATTAAATTTTCTACAAGAGCAGAGGTGATTTCTTGATTTTTGAACGCAATAATTTTTTAGTTCCAGGTTTAAATATCGAAGGTGTGGGCTTCTTATTAATTCGATGCTGTTCTTGAAGTGCGCTTAAGCAAAAGCGAACAACTATTTGCTGGCGGTCACCACAACCAATCGTGCACAACCTACGTATCATTGTATAGGAGTAGTAGAAGCATCGGAAATGGAATCGCTCTCGCTTTCGTTGCTTTCCTTCCGTACAGAGCGGGTCAGGAGCTGGAGACGTTGGTGTTCACCAGCGTTGGTAAAAGCCGCGAGAGTGCTGCTCGTGTCTTTATCGGTGTCGTTGTTGTAGTCGGGTGGGTGGGGAGGACGCGTTCAGCGTGAGTTGGGCGCAAGTAGACGAAGAGCAGCAGAGGGCGTACAGATCAAACTCACTGCTGCTGTGTGCGTGGCGTGAAAGGGTTGACATGTAGGGTTGAGAAACTCCATGAACGCAAACGCCGATGGCCTCTTCAAATGCATAGAGCACTACCTCACCTCCGATGCTTATTTCGGAAAGCTTTCTTCTGTAAGGGTTGGCGCGAAGCGAGCGCAGCAGCAGAACCAGCCACACGCCCCGGAGAGCATGCGCGCAACATGCCACAGACGAACCGAACAGCAGTAGTAGTAGCTGTATCGCACGTCAAGACAACCACTAATCGCAAGCAACCCGAAGACAACGGCATGCTTCAACATTCCAAACACACATCATCACCACCACCACCATCATCATCATCATCATCATCATCATCATCATCATCATCATCATCATCATCATCATCATCATCATCATCATCATCATCACATTACGTACTTCTGCACAAAGACGTAGATGTAGCACCATCGGTGGCTGCATTACGACGTTGTCCGGCTCGTGCGGGCACAAAAATCAAGAGCTCTACTGCTGCAGATTTTGATACATTACAATCATCATCACTTGAATCACTTCTTCTTCGAGGCGTTTCGCACATCTTGCGAGGTATTCCTGCGAGCACCACTCTCTGTCACAGCTGGGGAAATGTACTTCGCACACACAGAGACAGCGGCGTGCAACCCTAACAACATACCCCCCAATCCAGCAAGCAGTATCAAGATATCATGTTGTCCAACCCCCCGCGCGCTACACAAGCACTATTATTCCGTCGGCCGATGTTTCGCCCCACACGATGCCCTCCCTCCCTCCGAACACGGGACTCGTCGTCAGAAAACGCGGCTGTCTAATGGAGGAGATAGCTCCTGGAGCTAAACAACTACACTCGTTGAGGGTGTGCCTTAAGCTACAGCCAGGAACCACTCTGGTCTCGATCGATCGCCGCCGGAAAAAACAAGAAACACGCACACATACACGAATGAAGCGGCGAAAATACGGCGGACCCCCATTGCCCTCCTGTATTGCACCTATTTTACCACTATTCTAATAAAAAACCGACAATTTCGACGTTGTTGTTGTTGTTGTCGTGAAAAGCCCGGACTTATTCATTCATTTCATCACAATCTCTACCACAAAACAGACCTTCTCCGCCTCAGTAAAATCCGCACAAACCAGGCCGGCCTCTCTGACCCAACTCCAAATGGACCACGAGGACAGCAGGACATACATAACCAAGAAGAAAACAAACTAAAACCGTGCCCGCCGCACTTTCTTCGCTCCTCGGCCCCCCGCCGCGCGCCGTCTAATTCACCTTGACATTTCAGTATCATCCATCTAACCTTTCGTGCGCTTGGAACCGCACGCTACAGCACGNCCACCCCCACCACCCCCAGAGGGGCTTCGTACGCTGCCCCCCCTGCCCCCCCCCAATCCACGACGCCAATCGCGTGGAGCACGGACCGGCAGCAGCCGTGGCAAGAAAGACACCAGCGCCAAGCCAAGCCTTCCGGCTGTCCCTCCCCTCCTCAAGCCGAGAGGCACACGTCTCCGGGCCGGGGGGAGCCGCCGTATGTGTGTTGTGGCGGTTCACCCCCCCCCCCCCCCCCCC